TGGGTGGGTGGGTGGGTGGGTAGATGTGGGGGGGTGCCCTCCAGCAACTGTTGGTTTCCTACCTCTTTGGATTCCGACTGCCGTAGAGAAATGCAAACTACCCAAGACTAGGAAATGTGTGAAAACCTCGTGTTCTGCACATGTCGCCTTCCCTGCTTCAAGCTATATGGACGCAGACGCAAGGCGCAAGAACATGCGTGTTACCTCCTCACCTATAGTCCTTGTCTAAGACCTCGAAGCAGCGCTGGCTGTAGTTTTCAGGTCTCGAGATACAGCCTAAAAAGGATGGGCACACGTCACGAGGAAACCAACATAAAAATAACTGCGGTGAGACATGATGACACTTCTTCAAGCTGAGGCTTTGCAGGCATCTTGACATTCCAAGAAGAGACCCTTCTTCGGGCCTGCACCGGGCGCCTGTGCCGGTGCACCCACCTCGGCCGGCGAGGTCTCGGGGACCGCAAGACGCCTTGGGCAAGAGTGCAGAGGCTGGAAACGCGGCTGTAGCCACATAGGGCCCCCTGCATGTTGCAGAACCACTAATTACGAAGCAGCATGGTTTGCACGTGCGTCTGTTTGCACGTGAGGGCGGGCGGCGTGCGCGCGCATGGGTGTGGGCGGGTGTGTCTGTGTGTCCGTCTGTGCGTCCGTGTGTCTGTGGGTCTGTGTGCCTGTCTGTCTCTGTAGGTTTAGGGGAGATGGAGTGGAGTATCTGTTTAAGTGGATCTAGGCACGCTCCGCTGCCCACCGCCATTGTAGCTGTTGCGGCAGCGGCGCCCGTGGCCTGGAAAGCCCAAATGTCTGCAGGCACCCCTTGTCGTGCTGACCAAGGCGGGGCTGACGCACACACACACACACACACACACGCAGAGCGTCAACGCCGGCCTTGAACATGGCACTTCACTTCTTCAGTCTTCCGTTGAATCTACTTTTGCAAGTGCTTTCAAAGGCACCTGGACTATTGTTCCTACGGTACTTCCATGGCTGCTTCCTACGCTAATCCAAGTGTCACTGCTGCTGCTGCTGCTGCTGAAACTAAACAACGACAACGACTACGACGAGTACTGACACTACTACTACTACTACTA